GGGGGTGATTTCTCGCTTTCTGTCTCTATGTCTCTCTCTGTCTGGCGAGCGCACGCGCCCTATAGTGAAAAACCTCTCAAAAAAAAAAAAAAAAAGTCATTAATTCGCCTACTAACCACCTACCTAGAAATACTGTACTTAGAAAAGAAAATTAGTAATTCCAGAAGAGAAACCTAATTTTCAGTTTGCCCACAATCCTGGCACCTCCTATCCTGCATAAAATCTTAAGTGCAGTGGATCCATTCAAGGTTTCAAGCAGCAGCAACAGCGTTCTAGAAATAGCCCTGGATTCAGGAATTAGAAAGACCTTGTTTTGAATCTCAATTTTGCAACTTACTAGCTAGTACACTGAGTGCCACAAATCCCATCAGGATTGAGAAATGGAGAAGGGATTGCAGAGTGACCACACAGGGCGGGGGTAGTGGTGGTTGTTCTCCCTCTCTCCCGTTCTCTTTTCTCTGGTGAGCACTGTGTCCTCTGACAAATTTTTAAAAAGGGGAGGGAGGGCCACCAGGTGGCATAGTAGTGTCGATGGAAAAAAAGAAAATAACCAACTGTAAAATTAATAATTAATAATTAATGCGGTGTATTTCCAAGCCAACTGTGAGTGACCTAGGCCTGGAGAAGAGGCATACATGCCTTTTCTCGGGGTGATCATGTATAGAGGTTCCTTTTATTTGCTTTTGAGATTGACACACAACATTTAATTAAAAGATTTCCCATTGGTCTGGCAAAAAAAAGCGGGACATGTAGAGGGGGGGGGCTTGTAGGTTATAGGTGGGTTCCACAAATTCTTAGGTCGCGATTGGAAGGGAAAATCCCTGTCTTAAAGAAAGGCTTAATCTACATCTCAAGGAAAAGGGAAGTTCTGTGTCTTGGGAAGGCATTAGCAAAAGAATACACTAATCGGTTGAAAATATACATCTCAAAGATACTATGCCAGGGACAGGAGGTAGGAAGAATCCTGTTAATAGAAAGTAAAATGGTCTGTTAATGTTTGTGGGCATGACTTCCCCAGTCCCCTTTTGAAAAGATTTTGGAAAAATAGGAAAAGTAGTCAGACTTCTGTCCACAGTAGTTAAGGTGCTGGACTCCTAAACGGCTGATTGCTATTTGAGTGCTGAAACTGGCAGATTGAAACTCATGCTGGGCAAGTGGGCATGTGTGTCCAAAATCCCAAAAGGAGAATGGAGGAGAAATGACTGTGGTGTAGCTATCGCCTTGGGTGGGGGAGGAGAGAGCGTGTGATTTCTCACTTTCTGTCTCTCTGTGCCTCCAGCAAGCACGCGCACCCTATAGCAAAAATATATTAAAAAAAAAAAAAAAAGAGCAAGAAAAGATCTGTGGCATCAAAGTATTGATCACAGGAATATCCTAGAGTCAGCACTTTCAGCCCAGCCACTGGAGCGCAGCAGTAATGCAAGTGCCCCCATGAGGCTGGAAGCCTTATAACAACCACAGGTTCAGATCCCTGGCCAGCCTAAAACAAATAAGGATCACATTCACAGGCACCAGAATCTAATGGGCCAGAGAGCTGGAGAAAGGGGATTGTAGTGTGACAAGATCGTGCCAAGGGTGCCCTTTCTCTTTCTCTCTCACGCGTGCACACACACCCTCATTTAAAATAAAATGAACAAACAAAAAAGCATTTCTCACTTCTTTCCTTACATGCACTTGCTAATTTAGGGTCTTTTTTCCATTTGGAACATGTAGATTTTTCATCTTCCTATAGATCATAAGTGATTAGTACAATCAGAATCAACTGGTCCCTGGTCCCTCAAATTCACCCTGCAGGAGTCCTAGTCTGTCCATGTCCTTCTTACTGCCCTGCCCCAATCCCCACCTCTTCTCACCCAAGTATGACTGGTTCCCCACCTCCAGGCGTGGCCCTCTAATTCATTCTGCAATAGACTGTTAGGGGATCTTTTAAAAATAAAAATCTGAATCAAGGAGAAAAATGTAGCGGGATGACACTTAGGGGACACAAAAATAGAGGACTGTCTGTTGATAATAACATGTACTCTTATCTTCTGGATTGTTGTAAAGTTTATTCATGTCAGTTAATCCATTTTACAAGCTGTAGTGATGTAGAATGATTGAATGTATAAAATAAATTAGAATGTTTTTAAAATTTTTTTAAAAAAGAAAGAAAATATAAATCTGATCATACACATAAAACTCTGCTGAGGATCCTTCAGGGGCTTCTATCACACTTAAGAACTTTTTTATTTTGTCTTTTTTTTTTTTTTTTGGAGAGG